AAGCTTTGTAGGTTAAAAAGGTCCTATTGACTCAATTAAGCAGAATAACTTAGTTTACCAAATCCCTTGCAATGAATTGTGAGGTCGAATACATAGGTCAAAGTAGTCGACTAGGATCAATTAGGCTATCCGAACATAAAAACTTAGCTAGGTCAAAATTGGTAGTTCCTAATAAGGTAAGGAATTCAGTGGAATTACATTCTACCACGGTGCACAAGTTTTTCTCTTATATTAACGTGTATTGCTACCAGTTGGTTGGTGGCCAGATTTTCATTCCAGTCATCACTTAGTATCAATCACTACTTATCTACCAAACCATAGACATCTCAGCTGGTCAAACTGACAATTTTCAGTTATTATTATACTCCGAATAGTGCCAGTCTGTGTTAATGAAAAGAGGACTATTTTATTGGATATTTGATTAGTATTAGTAACTGTTCATGTAGATTGACTTTTAGGCCTTTGTTTAGCTGTGACTTATTGGTTAGTGTAAGCAGTTGACTTTCAACCATTAGGTTATAGGTTCGAACCCCCTCTCCTCTTACCGAGGTTTCACTAATCAAGCAGTGTTATATCAGTCATAAATGAATGTTTGATAATTTAGTTATAAATAATGATTGTTTTCTTCCACCAAGTTGTTTTATGCTCTTTTTTTCAAAATAAGACTGTATGATGACAAATGACAGATTTGCATTAATTCATATTAGGTAATGATTGAAAGTGATTAAAAGGCCACCAGAAGACTCGAGTTGCCGAACCGATGTGTTTTTTTTCAACTCAATCTATTGCTGTCTGTCACACGTCTGTGTTGTCCCTATTGACTTTCATTCATGTCTATTGATGTGCTATCCAATTTGGAAGTTTACAAGGGATTGGTTTGGTTTCAAGATATTTATCATGGATTTACGTTAACGCTGAGTGGTAACATAGTAATCACAACACTTGACCATCCTTATTTCACTCCTTCTACAAACTCATGGGTATATACACTGTTAAGGAGTAGTGCCATACTGGAATAAAACAGCTAACCAATACTCCGATATATTCAATGGTGCTCCAACTGATGTCACTCCCTCACAGATGCTTCTTTGAAAGCAAGCAATAAGGATTATTGCTTGTATTATACCGTCGTTGATTAAACTGAAGTGATCGATCTCTATTGGCATATTGACTGCTATGCGGATGCCTTGATATTACCTGTGTTTTAATTATAGTAATGATGGATAGTGGCTAGCAGTGGAGTCTAGGATGCACAATAATACTAAAACTATACGTGTCGCATACGAAGTGGCTATCGTGACTCAGTGGTCTAGTGGATAACGCTTTGATATTTGAAGCGATCGGTCCCGGATCCGAATCCCGGTGGGAACAACATCACTCACTGGGATGTAGATACATCCGGCTGATGAGTCCCAAATACGACGTATATATATATATATATATATATATATATATATATATATATATATTGTAAATTAGGTGTAAATTTTCACTTATAACCATCTTGAATATGAAAATTGCATGTTGTTCATAAGTTTAAGTACTTTTGTTTTAATACAATATCATTGACCTTGGGGTCTGCCTAAATTGTTTATTTTACTGATCACGGAAAATCTTGATAAACTTAAAGTTTTACTTAATTTTTTTTTCTTCATAATCATAAAACTGAACATCTTCCATAGAATGAAGTAGGAAATGCTTGTAAAATCAGCAGCATAAAACTAACTGTTCAGCGTTTTCTGCTTAAATTTTTGGTTAGCTTGATAACAGTATTAATTGGTGGGCATATATAAATGCATGTTATACACGGGTTAACATATAACACTGGATCCAACTAAGTTACTTCTTTCTAATACTCATAATTGGTGGATACAAAAGGATAAAATAGGGAATTGCAAGGGTTCAATAACTAGGCTGTGAACATGTTGACTATTGATATCATCTGTTCACAGTTTGAACACATAACTTCCTGATGTGAGAAAGTTAATTTGCTCAAAAACCGTTTATGGCCTAAGTATTTCTATTATAGTTTATTCAATAGGCTAGCATTGGGATCCAGGAGGACTCATCATCTGGATGTTGTACCCATTGATCCAGTAAACAACAACTGATGCCTGTTAGTGGATCTTGTCACCTCAGAGGTCTAATGGATAATGCTTTGGAGTTTGAAGCGATGGATACTGGGGTTCAGATACATCTTGCTGACCAGTCGGTTCCAAATAATGGAGATCTACTGCACTCAGCATGTGGAATGAGATCTGGATTTTCAACACGAATTCAGTCAAGTCAGTGCTGCTATATGGTTCAGAAACTTGATGCGTCACGAAAACCACTTCCAACAAACTACAGATATTCATCAACAACTGCCTACGCTCGATATTGAAGATCAAATGGCAGAAAGAATAAGCAACAAGGAACTCTGTTATCTAACCAACCAACCAACAGCCTATCACCTAACAAATATGCAGAAGGAAATGGAGGTCGATTGGGCATACACTGAGAAGACTATTCGTGGATATCACACACCAAGCCAGACTCTCGAGTGGAACCCAGATGGGAAACGTTGAGTTAGGCGTTCGAGGGTGACATAGAAGAGATCATGTGAGGAACAAATGAAAGCTTGTGGGCAGTGGTGGTGCCAGGTTCAAAAGACTGGGGAGAGGAGAATGGAATGGAGGCGTGTTCCACTAGGAACTCAAGGGGAAAATAATAATAATAATAATAATACGTGTCCTAGATTCCGCTGTTAGCCATCAAATAGACTATAATATAAGAATTATCCAGACGATATCGAGGCGTCTGGATAGAAGTCCATCTTGTCAACAGTTTACTTTTCTACTTCAACTGTGTGTAGTTGACTAATTTGAATGTGTTTGTTCTACAACGTACCTGTACAAGAGACGTTGGTGTTTTCTTTACTATCAATTAAATTTGAAGAATAAGCATTTTTCCTGTTTCTCTTTTTGTAAATTGAAGGGCCTGAATGACGAAGATAATTGATAAACTAAATCACTAGTGTCTATTCATAGTTTTTATTGATGAAACTTATTTATATTGTGTTTACTGATACTTGTAATTTTTCCGTTGCTATACTGTGTAGAATTGTTCGATGTTTGTTGGTAGATAAGCTTCTGTGCTCATGCTTTGATTACTGCCCTAATATTCCTGTATACTGTAGTGTACTTGGTGGTGGTTAGGAGTAGAATTCAGGACTCACGTTTCTCTCTGCTTGGAACTAGTCAGCTGGATATAATTACACCTCAGTGAATAGTTGTCCCCAGTACCTGTCGTTTCATACGTCATATTGTTATCCACTAGACCATTTTACTAGGGACAACAGATAGGTGTAATTCTTTATTCAGGTTGAGTTGTTGAATAGGGTGTTGTTGGTCAACTTTGTTTATGTGTTAAATTCATATCCTTGGGATTATCTAAATTTACTATTGGGAATTTTTTTTAGGGAAATGTGAATGGATATGTTGGTTAGTTAACTTGGAAAATGTCGTCGGCAATGTATGTATCCGTGTAAGTTGGAGTGGAAGAGCAGTCGGTTGTACTGTCCACTCCTTCAAAGTAATTATGAACTACACTGTTTTTTCTTTGATATTAAGCAATTCAGTATCCAAGTTACTAGGCTTCATGTATCACCACACCAAATGAGAATGCACCAAAATAAGAGATAAAGAAAGGGGTGAATAAGGCAGTCAAAATGGTAGGGAAGGTCATTAAAAGATGATGATGAGGAATTCGAAAATATTGACTTCACCATGACGATTTAGATGAGGATAATTTATGGATATATCTGCACTACTGACTGTTTTCTGTTATCATGTAGACCCCAACCGAGTAGTCTAAATCTCCCTACATAACTGAAACCAACAGTCAAGGACTTTATGTAATGACACCATGTTATAGTCAAGCCTTCTGGAGACATTTTCCAGCCTGAACATACTTCTGACAACATTGCGCCACATGACAGACAAAGGTTCACGATCTTATCAACTGACTTCTCTCGTACCCACTAAAAAAACGATAAACCTGACTTGTGTTACTCATGTGGTGACATCACAACATGCTCCTATGCTACGAAGGTAACAGTGATCAAAGAACTAAAGTCTTCTTATATCTTCTACCTTGAAGGATCATATTTCACAGGTGTATGGTAGAACGGAGCGAACTGTGATGCAGTACACTTTACGCCTAATGAAAAAGTGGATACCACAGTGGCGCCTCGAATAGTCTGGTTAGTTAAGGTCAATTAAACTATTTTGTTCAGGAAAATAACAAGTTTGTACGGAACTGACTTTTAAGTTCTCCTTACTTGTGTGCATACTTAGGCCAATCTTATTGGATAAAGCTTTTAAAATAGTCAGTACTCATTGCATGTTTTGTATTGATTACAGTGTTAATGGTGTGTATTAGATTCTTTTGTTAAAAATTACCCCATTATATATTTATTTTAACTATATTCAGTCTATATATGGAGTTACTTTCAACAAATTTTGACTATCTGAGATAACTGTAGTTTAACAGATTGGGTGATGATTGGAAGTGAATATGAAATTTGGGCTACAACAGGATTTCATTTCAATCACTGCCATATGAATTCATGATGCGGTTCTACTACTACTACTACCCTGGTTGTGCAGTCAGAACTTTTCATTCCAATCCAAATCTATTTGAATTAGAGAGGGGGGAGGGCGGAGCAATATATTGATTATCAGTTTGAGTATGTGAGATAGTTATGGTTTAGTAGACTTGTTCTTGGTGATTGAAATGAAATTAGGATGTTGTTTCCAGTTGCTTCTTGTAGCTTAGTTGGGAAAGCATTAGGACCTTTGGTTCGAATCCTGCTATAGCTCAGACTTCTATTTCTCCTTCAGTTATCATTCAATTTTCTTTTTATTTGGAACAAATAATCTTGTGCTAATTACCGTTTTAAGGTATGCATCTTTTTGATTAGATGTTCTAAAAAAAAGAATTCTACTCTGTATTCTTTGATCATCGTCATCATCATCGATATCAACATAAGACCACGCATTACTGCGTAACAATCCGAGTTGCCACAGCTCATATCACTACATCAAGTAGAAAGGTAGTGAGGTGAAAGATGAAGATAAGTGAATGCAGCCAAAAGAAATATAAAGTACGAAAAGAGAGAAAGGAAGAATGACAAAATGGTGAGACTCGGTATAACGTCGTTGAGGTGAGGATAATGTGTGTATACATGTGTGCCACTGACATCGGTTCTGAGCCATATCACCTACAGTCAGTCTCCAACCACTGTTGATTCCTCTTGTCCCGCCGATCCCAACCGGCTGGTTACTCTGCATTGCCTCACATGGCTCAAACCAACAGTTAGATACTTCATACATTGGTGCCATGTTATAGTCTGGCCACCTCGAGCCTTTTTCCAGCCTTGGCCTATTTTAGTCAACATTGTATGACGAGGCAATCAGTGACTAGGCAAACGTTATACGTGTCCCAATCAGCCATCTCAGTCGATGAAGGTTCACAACTGATTTACCTCTACTCGCTAAAACTCTATATCTGACTTCTGCATTACTCACATGGTGACACCACAGAACACGGACCACACTATACTACAAAGGCAACGGTGGTCAAACAACACCTGAAGCCTTCTCATGTCTTCCACCTTCAATGACCATGTTTCTTAGCCATACAGTAGAACAGAGAGGACTGTTGTGCAGTACACGCGACCCTTAATAGACAATCGGATATCAAGGCGGCGCCACAGATGGTGTAAGTTGGCAAAAGCCAGTTGAGCCTTTTGTATTTGTGCAGAGATGTCATCAGCAACTGACCCACCAGGATTGATCCTACTTCTGAGGTAAGTGGAATAGTGGACACACTCAACCACTTTACTGTCTATCGTTAGCTGTGGCACCGCTGAAACTTATAATCACTCAATATTTGCTTTTTGTTTTTCGTTCCCCGCCTTCTCTCTCTCCCTCTCTCTCTCTCTCTATTCATTCTTCCTCCTGGATCTTCTTTTACAAAAGCGCTTTCGTTTTAAATGGAAGTGTTTACTTAGCTTTTAGGGATAAATTAGTTTAACCTAAAGCCATAAATCTCATTGGGATAACTTGTAATATAATTCAAATTATTTTGATTAAATTTCATTGCTATTTTCTTTATCTTTAGGCTTGGAAATAAGTGAAATGATTCAACGTTTACGCCATGTTATTACTCAAAACTTGAGTAGGCCAGTTTTTGTAGTAATGAGATATTTATTCGCATTTCTAAATCAGTAAGTCTATTACATTTTGACAGTTCTAACTTGTTTCATAGTATTGAATACTTTATATAATGTGTTGTGTACTTCAATGGTTCTTAGTTCGAATGTAATACAGAAACATAGTGTATGACTTTATGCACCGAATTATGCTTTTCATATATTTTGTGTAAAAGCTTTTGATTACTATCTGATTGCTGAAACCTTATTAGATAAGTCGGAGTCGAAACTGCTTACAGAAAGATAAATAAAGTTAACGTAGAACTACCGGGCACATAAGGTGAATCCGTGGAAGTCTCCACACTTCACAGTAGTATATAGTGACCAAGTGGTGGATAAAAAGAGACTGATATTAAAGTAGAAAAAAAGTGTATAGAAGGAGAAACAATCTGAAGATAAAGGTTCCTGCAAATATTCAAGCTTTATAAGTCGTCAACAAGTGAATACACCCTCGATATTGTGACTGTCAACAACAGTCTGGGACTTCATCGATTGATGCTGGCCACCCTAACCCTTTTCCAACTTAATTCAGCTTCCTTGAGGTAGGCAGTGGTTGGTATACACAACATATAGCGAAGCCGTTTCAGTTGACTTAGTTTCATAACCTCATCGATCGACTTGACTATTACACTCGGTGATCCTGCTAAACATGAACAATAGTATGAAGACACTTATAATCAGAACCTTGTATCCACTATTTGATCCGAAATTAATCCTGAAGATCCAGTTACTCAATATATACTCTTCTTTTGTTCTTTATTCTTTCATCTAACAAATATTTTGTTGTGTTCACTTTAAAATTGTAAATAACCCTAAACCAGATCAGTTACTCAGTTTTCTACGTCTGTATGTTTAATTTTAAATCTGAAATGTGAATTGTTTCATAACCTTTTCGAACAATGGATATTGTGGAATAAAGCTTTGGTACTGTGGTAGATTGTAAATAGATTTTCAATACCAATGTCAAGTCAGTGCTTCTATATAGTTCAGAGACTTGGCGCGTTACGAAAAGCACTTCCAACGAACTACAGACATTCATCAACAACTGCCTACGCTGGCTCGATTCTGAAGCTGAGATAGCCAAAAAGGATGAGCAAGGAGGAACTCTGGTTGACTGGCAACGAACCAACCAAGAACCTATCACTCAACAAATATGCACTAGAAGGAAGTGTAGATGGATTGGGCATACACTGAGAAGACCGACTGGGGACATCAAGCACCAAGTCAGGCCGTCGAGTAGAACCCACATGGGAAACGACGAGTTGGGCATCCCAGTTGAGGGTGACGTGGAGGAGATCGTGTGAGGAAGAAATGAAAGCTTCTGGGCAGTCGTGGAGCTAGGTTCAAAAGTTTGCAGAGAACAGAGTGCACTGGAGACGTGCTACTGAAGCTCTATGTTCCACTAGGAACCCAAGGGACAAATAATAATAATTAGATGTGTCACACAGTGAAACAGCATTATTTATTGGATATGGTTTCGGACGTAATTTAGAATTTAGAATTTGAAAGGGGAAAGAAGAAGAAGAAGAGGAAAACGTGGACCGATCACTCAGCGAGTTCGTGTTCACAATATTACAAAAAAATAGTTAAAAAAATGCGATCTGCAGATAGAAACTTGACGTTGGATAATGTTATGCCTGTATTTTTAATGCTAATCGCTTCATTCTGATTGGTTATCTTTGTTTCTCTGATTCAGCTAATCTTAGTCATTTAGGCTAGTATGGTTGTTGAAGGTATGAGTTCTTGAAACTGTAAATCTACTCACCTAAACTTTGTGCATTAAGCAATAAGCCACACCTAGTGTATGTAATGGCTGATGGAGCAGGGGTTCGAACCCATGACGCATAGGTTGAAAGTCATTCGCCTAAATCATTTAACCACAACTCTACACTCCCGATTCGGTTTGTTCATTAGATTATGTTTATGTCACTTTCAGATAATTCAACGACTCTTTAGTTTTTAGTCTAGTTTTAGTTTTAGTCTAGTCATACGTAACCTTTTTCCAGTATTAACCTACTTCAGCGATGAGTCAAATGGTTCATATGTATATCTTTCTTTCACACTTATTAAGTATACTGTTGGAAAGTGTTACAACTTTTGTGCTACACTGTTTTTAAACCTTGAACTATACAAAGCAGTAGGAATTGATGGCCTATCACCAGAAATGAAAAAAATTATTCAGTAGAGTAATAGAGGTGAACTAATTGATGTATGGAAGTCAGAGATAGTCCCGTCAAACTAATCTAGATTTCTGATGGAATCCCATCAGAAGCACTAAGAGCAGATGAAGAGACAACAGCGGATATGCTCACACCACACGATTATTGCAGAAGGTCTGGAAGGAAGGGAAGGTACCTGCTGATTGATTGGAAGAAGGGCTACCTTGTCGAACTCCCGAAGAAGGTTGACCTAAGCCTTTGCAAGAATTGGCGTGGAATTACGCTCCTGTCCATTCGAAGCAAAATATTTATCCGCATCATCCTGGAGAGACTAAGGGATGCGCTGGATTCAGGAAGTACAAATCATGTGCGGACCAAATTGCAACACCACCCTTCGCATCATCATACAACAGAGAATAGAATGACAGTCAACTCTCTACCTCAACTTCATCCACTTTGAAAAGGTCTTCAACAGACTCCACCGACAAGTAATTTGGCAACTGCTCAAACACTACAGAATACCACAAACCTTTATCAATCTCATTCAACAACAACTATATGAAGATGCCACACACCAAGTGATCCACAATGGAAAGCTCAGTGATGCTTTTGAAGTGAAAACAGGAGTAAAACAAGGCTGACGCCTACTATCACCCATCATATTCCTGATTGTAGTCGACTCGAGTGGATCATGCAACAAACAGTGAGGAGCGAGAAGAGGGGGATACGCTGGCTTGGCTGGATCGATGAAAAGATTCTAGAAGATTTGTATTTCGCCAACGATAATGATTTATGTCTAATGTCACACAAACTGGGAGATCTACAGGCGAAAACTAACAAATTGACAGAAGAGGTATGGCAGAGAAGACGGGACTTCAAGTGAACGTAGAGAAGATAGAGATAATGAAGATACCAACTAACAACACCACCAACAACGACTGGCTCCAATCACCATCAACTGGAGAAACTTAAAGTAAGTAACCTCTTTCACCTACAAAGGAGGCATCACTGTTTCAACTACAGGTGGCACAGGCACAGACAGGGACGTGAAAGCCAGCCAGGATTGGAAAGACAACAAGACAGGCTTTCGTTAACCTGAAACCAGTGTGGAGATCTTCTGCACTCAGCATAAAGTGTGAACAAGATCCGGATTTTCAACACCAATTCAGTCAAGTCAGTGCTTCTGTGTGATGGTTGAGAAACTTGGCGCATTACGAAAGGGATTTGCAACAAACTACAGACATTCATCAACAACTGCCCACGCTGGCTCGTTAGTGAAGCTCAGATAGTCAGAATAATAAGAATAATCAAGGAAGAACTGTGGCTGTGAGCAAACCAACGAAGCAAGAACCTATCGCTCAATAAATGTGCACTGGGAGGAAGTGGAGATGTATAGGGCATGCACTAAGAAGACCGGCTGGGGACATCACACGCCAGGCCAGTTGCTCGGGTGGAGTCCAAAGGGGAAACGACGAGTTGAGCGTCCGAGGCGAGGGTGGCATTGAGGAGGAGATGGTGTGAGGAAGAAATGAGAACTTGTGGGCAGTCGTGGTGCCAGGTTGAAAAGATTGCAGAGAAGAGAGTGAAATGGAGACGTGCTACTGAAGCCCTATGTTCCATTAGGAACCCAAGGGACAAATAATAATAATAGTTTACAAAGGTGGAAAGAAGTATTCTTATGAGAATTACCGGAAAATAAATTTGTTTAGCATACTATCATTTCTTATATCGTAGGCTCTATAGTTATATCCTTTGCTCGAATGAAGCTGGAAAAAGATTATACAGATTTCAGGTGTGAATCAGGGTACACCAATCACATACCGACAGGAACATAGATATAATTCCTACCGCCATCATTTGCCGTATTTCTAGGTCACAAGGTTGAATCTGATTCTGATTCTATTTGTTCTTTTTTTAACTTCATTGTAGACATGCTAACAGACAAAACCCTATCTACCTTCGACTTGATAGCGATTGACGCACTCCCAAGTAATCATTTGATTGACGATAATATATTCGTATTAGTTGTAGACGCTTTCAGAATACAGACTTTTCTGAATATCTTGAACGGTAGTCTGAACATTTTTATCTGGGAAATATAAGATGATGGTTGAGATTTAATCTGTACTAAATCATATTTTAAAGATATGGAGTGAAATGGTAAAATTCGATTGAAGAGTTGTATCTTCTTGAATTGGCTGATTTCAAACGAAACCTTAGCTGGGATTCAGAAGGTTCATTTCGCCTTTACTAGATTTCACCATTTATGGCACCGGTGAAAAAAAATCCGATTATCTATGAAAACAAGAATATATTATGCAGTATTCCATCGTCCTATATGATACGGTTATGAGATATGGCCGTTGGAAGTAGAAGGTATAAAGAATTTACGTCTTTTGATCATAGGTGTCTTCTTACCACTACTCCTATTTGTTTGATGCATCGTGTGCGGAGGGAACGAGGCAAGACAAATAAGTCAGTTGGTAATTTTGTGCACCTTTACCAATTATGATGATTTGGACATGTGCTACCTCAATCTCCTTTGTTAACCGAAGTGGAATTCAGTTGAATGAAGGCTCAGATACCGTGTAAAGATATGGTATCAGTTCTTGAAGTCTGTCACTATTGATCTGATCTATGTAGGCTTCTATTAACTATTTAGCCATCGTCTTTGAGATAATAGGTATTATTGATTGAAAACCCTTGGAGAAATAGCTGAAAATTGGTCTAAGTATCGCAGATGCGCATTCCCTCTGTGTCATCTTCAAAGACTTGAATGCTTTCATTTCAGATACGTTTACTTAGTTTTATGCTATTCCTTTTTTCTATCCACTTCATATTTTCGTACTGCTAAAA